AATCTCTAACATGAATATCATTAGCATGTAGAAAAATAATTTTTAATAAATAGTAATACTTTTATAAACAATAGTTAGACCACTGATTTTAGTTTTTTCTTTAGGGACTACCCATTCATCTTTGAAATGGACGTTTTATGCCTTGGGATACACAGGTGCAGAAATACGTCCCCCCTCCCCCCACCGATGCATGCAACAAATTTTCATTTTTAAAAGTTTGGGGATGTACACAACAACAACAACAGCAAGCATATTGGATGGTTGAGACTTGTCACCAGTAAACCATGCGGTCGGGAACCGCACGAGTCCACCTGGATCGGACCTTGGCAATTTAGGAGAGAGAGGCGGGCCACCAGATCCCATGTTCCCTATGTTATCTTTATGAAAATTGACTGCATCAGGCTTAAGACTCTGGCTTCTAATTAAGCTGATTCTGTGATGAACTCGAGGTCATGACTCGGGCGAGTTGGAACCTGAGTCTGACCATATCATGCGCTACTCTATTCACATGTGCGAGTTTGAATGCTCTCAAAGCAATGAGCTTTGGCATAAAGGTAATTTCTTGGATTACAACCCTCAAGAAATCTAATAATTCGTCCTATTCTTTACCACGAGACGAAAACAACCTTGATCCATTAATCTACAACCACTTAAAAGTGGTTTACTGGAACTTCTTATTAGACTCCTTTTGTTGCGGTTTCGGACAATATAGAATGAGATTATTTAGTTAAAGTGTCATGACTCCCTGTGAAATCTGAATATATTTGTATAATTTGGATGGTAGCTGATGGTAAAGCCCTAATTATCTAATTTTATATATGACACTTAAAGATAATGGTGACCTTCTTGGACCTATCTATAGTAAACATTCTTAGTGTACTGTACCATACACATTAACTTAAAACTAGAGAGAAGGACCTTTTCTTCATATTTGCCATGCTTTGGAAATTTACTAAATAGATGGAGAAATGAGGTGAAAACGAACAAGAATGTTATAAAGATAAGGGTGCAGTTTCCATACGGATGCATCCGTAGGTGTAGAGGTAAGGTGCACCTTCAAATTTTATCATGATATATAATTTTGATGTAAAATGTTCTTAGGATTATCTCAAAATCTA